AGGATGTCGTTATAATAAACGCACATTTCACGCTTATTATCGGATTTAATTGGATACAAATCAACGTTCACAACTTTTGATATTTGGAATATCTTGGCCACTTTAAAATAATGGCGATCTGAAGAGGAATATTGCTCTCAGACAGCAAAGAGACTTTATCCGATACCCAGAGTTGAAGATTTCGACAGTAATTATCATGGGATGCTAAAACAATCTATCACAACTCCACTTTTCACCTTGACTGAGCTTGATTCGTTGGTTGGGTGTTCGATCAGGAAGATCTGACAGGAACCAGACATACAGGGATTACCTACGAGAAGTCGCAAGTGTTCAGATACATCATTGAGAAACAAGTCAGGCTTGATGCGACAACAACAGGATCAGCGTGTGTAGAAGCAGTTGTATTTGTTGTTGCAGCAGGATCAGTGGCAGGAGCAGAGGTAGTGGCAGAAGGAGAGGTAGAGGCAGGAGAAGGAGCAGAGGCGTCAGCGGCTGTAGCAGTACCAGATGTGCTAGTTGATGTGGCAGGTTCAGTAGGTTCGACAAGAAGTCCGCCGTTATCATCTTTCGCACAATGGGGAGCATGAGGAAAACAAGGTATACAACTTTTCTTGGATTTGTGAAATCTGGAAACGCTGTGGGGAGTGGGATAACCACGGAAATCATAAATAACATCAGAAGGATCCAAAGCTAGTTGAGCTCTGTACTCTTTGATTGCAATTTCAGCCATATATTTACCAAAATCAAGAACTGATTTGATTTGGACTTCTGAATACTTAAAGCTACCAGACTTGAAGAAAAGAAGGGCATGCATTATGTATTCATTTTTGAAAGGATATGCTGGATTATCGTTGACATCACCACTCAAATCAAGATATTCATCATTACCATCATCACCACCATCACCACCATCACCACCATCACCACCATCACCATTAGAGCCGTTGTTGACGTCGTTAACAGGAACGGGAGGTTCATTAGATTCGCTATCATCATCAGATTCCCCTCCGTTGTTAAAATCATTGTTGAAATGGTCAAAGGCATTACCACCATCGAATTCTTCTTCACCATCATCACGCCCATCATCATCACCGTCACCATCATAATCATCATATTGATTTTCGTCAAATTTATTTGCAGGTTCAGACAATGGTTCGGCAGTGCGTTCAGGTTGGATTGGTCTAATGTATATTGATGTAAGTAATTTGAATATATTTAACAGCCTTAAATAACTTTACCTTTCAATGGACTCCATATCAGAACTACGAGATTCGCTTAGCGGGATAGTAGGTTGTTCGTCAGAGGTATTCCTAAAAATAATAATGATAAGTACAAACTGACTATTTTTAAATTGATGAAGACGCTCACTTACTGTTGTTGGATGTCATTGGCAGGTAGTGATCCTTGATTGGACTGAATCGCCTCCAGAAGTTCTAAGTGGTGTCCTGATCTTTGATGCACTTTAAAAGAGTGTCGATTAATTGTACTGTATTTACATAACACACACGTTTGCTCCTGAGGCTGTAAAGCAGGTTTTGCACGGAACTTATTTGTTCCAGGTGTTTTTTTCATAGTGCTTTAAAATTAAAGTAAGTTGTTTATAATAAAATAAAGAATTTTGATAAAGTGCACTCTGGGGATTGTGTTTGGTTTATATATCGTTCAGATCAAAAAATGTGTTTAATGCTTAGCTTATGCGGACATAAGCTGTCAATTTGATTGGTGCAATAATTTACAAACGTCATTGCGGAACGATATTTTGTCACGCAACCCAACTTTCTTAGGTCGCTTTTCTTTCTCTTACGTATTTGTTTTTAACCGTGGCGTGTCTTCACAAACGCGTGATTATTGCTTGTAATATTATGATGCTTATGAACAATGGTATGTCATAGAACATATGTCTTAACAATACTATCATAAGGTATTCTACTAATTCTTCTCTCACAGTCAATTTAATCAAAGTCAAACGCGAAAAAGGTAGCTATTTCAGGACTTATGCAATAATATAATCTTCTATCCCTTTTACTTTCAGGATGTGTATCTATAAAGGTATACTTTATTCTGTACTGTGCTTCCCTGTAATAATATATCATTAACAAACGCCTTTTTATTTTTTTAGAGTCTCTTTTCTCTTTGAAATACCGTAATTAATATCTTGGTGATTATTTCACATCCTAAACTAATACATAACGCGTTTCATTTGTCATAAGATATATAGCGTAAAGCTTCGTACAAGGTACTATAATTTTAATGTTAATCATTATCCGTTTTACTAAACACATTATTCACTTTATAAATTAGCTCGTGATACTGCTTAAGCACGGATAAAATGTAAGTACAACATCTACCACAGACACTTGAATATCACATTAATACCTTTTTCCGTAGCTTCAGCTCAAACAGAATCAGTTTTGCGTGGGTTTTCTAGCTTGAATTCACTGTCTGCTATACGTGTCATACGTGGCCTGTCTGGGCTACGTGGTCTGCCCTGTCTGTCAAGGCTGAATAGCCTGCCTGGTCGGCCTGCGTAGCCCCGATGGGCAAACAGGCGCTTTCTGCCGGTTTCTGATTTTGTGGGCCAATTTTTTATATAAATAAATTTCGCTTTTTAAGGCAATTTTAAAAAAAAACTATTTTCGTGTTTTGTATTTGTATTTTATTGTTTTATTTGTACAGCAAGGAAACGTAAACAAAACCCCAAAACCAAAAAGGAAACACTTTTCATATCTATTTTTACTTTTTTTTTGGGAAAAAAATGGTCTTGAAATTTTAAAGCTTACACTTGGTTGTGTAAGGAAACAGTAATAAAAATTTTATTTTGTATTTTGGCATTTTAGTAGTCCATTTTAGGACCGTTTATTTCTGGAGGCTTCACATTCCATGCCCACAAATTTGTCATTTTTAAGCGGTAGATTAATAATAGATTAATAATAAAAAAATATGACAACATTATTTTTGACAGAATTCAATTTAGGAAAAAAATATTGATAAAAAAACATTTTTTAAAAAAAAAAACGGAGCTTGTCTGTATTAGTACATCTCCTATTTAAGATCTCAATATATTTTGTTTCATGTCAGCAGCCTAAATCATACAAATCTGAGAATTCTAGTCCGTTATCCGTCAAGATCCAATAGGTTTGAGTACTCTGGTCCGTTATCCCTCAAAATCCGTTGATTTCAGGGTACTCCGGTCCGTTATCCCTGCCAATCCGTTGACTTTAGGGTACTCCGGTCCGTTATCCCTCAAAATCCGTTGAATTCAGGGTAATCCGGTCCGCTATCCGTTGTTATGCGATACTTCAGGGAATTCTGGTAGTTATCAATACTGATCCGACACTTACGGGTTCACTGATTACGTTTAAATAACAACCTAAATAGATTATAAGTAATTGGAAACGGTTCAAAAATGGTTCAAGCATTCTAAGCTTGTAGTGGGAATTATCTTAGTTAATTTCACATATAAGATAAGTCGCAAATCATATCGGAACGTCCTTAAACGTGCGTTGTATTTCAAAAATATATGTACAGGTGACCTCTAAACTATCCTAACTGTTTGAGGTTATTGTATTTTGTAACGACATCACATACTCATATCATAGGGACACTTTGGGAACATTTTCTATTTTCTGTCTTTTGTTATTATTAAGTTATTGATCTGGTTAAAAGCGCTTCATAAAAAATGTATAAGCTATTATCACTCTTATAAGATGTTAAACTCTTCTTTTTTATAACCTTTACTGGAATATTTTTTATCCCAAACATGTCACACATTTTTTAGTCTATCACATTTTTATTTCGTCCAATGCTGCTCTAATCGTATCATTGCTTTGGAGACTGCTTTAAGTAATGGTGTAATTAACGGAGCTATAAACAGAATTAATCAAGACGACTTGTTCAAATTAGTGGGCCGGTGAGGAGTGGAGCGGGGCAAGAGCGGAACAGAATAATTATTAAGGTGAGGACCAAAGAAACAGGCATTATATCAATTAGTATTAACATATATAAAATGGATGAGAGTAGAAAAAGTTTAATTCAAAAAAAAAGAAAAAACAGATAAGATCTTGAATACAGAAATAGAATTAAATAGACATGACTACAATACCCGAGGAGTGTGTGGTGACCTAGCAAGAATATAGCCATATTAGAGCTGACAAAGGTTTATCCATGCTGATAGCATTTGTGATATAAGCTTTACAATAAATGTCATAGTAAGAACTATAAGGATATTACAGCGCAAGTCCAATTTAGTACGTCTGAGAAATAATTAAAATATTGTTTAAAGCAAGGAGATTTAAAAAAACTTCAGATTTATTAGAACAAGACTAAAGTAGTACTATGTAATAATTGTATACATTTTTGGTTGATCTAGGACAACTTCAAGACAGCGCTTGAGACATGAACACAGCCGACAGTCTTTTATATAAATACTGGTACATTTCGTTTATTATTAAAAGACAATCTTATAAACAGTCTCAAACTACTCCGGTAGTCTTTTTATAATTTTACTTTACCTTAAAACATAACATTTAGTAAGGAGTACGATACAAATTTGCCGCTGTGTATTCCAAGTATATGTTCAAATATTTGAAAGGGTAATCATGAGTTCAAAAAGTTAGTGGTAACACGATAGAAACCCCAAAAGCCGTCAATCCTAAATTTCTAGACCATCGAAAGAAGTGAAATACACTTGAAATACGTATCCAGCAAAGGGAAAATTAATGGATGAGGTATTAAAGATAATTCCTCACTATTAAACCAAGAAAATAACAATATCAACAAATATTATTTTTCTGACACATTTTTAAACATCGTACATTCTACAGATTGCTAAACAACCGTTTCTTACGCCGCTAACAAAATTTATAGAAACAAAAAAAATTAATTTCGTCTGAAGCCGAAAGCTGTTAGAAAAAAGGCACTACAAGACAAGGATAAAAAAATATTTCTTAAAAGTGGAAAACAATTTATAAAGATGTGCAAATAGTTTTAATAGCTTAAGGGCCCTCGCAAGCACATCAAACTATTTTTTAAAGATCCCGATTAAGGACATTAATTTTTTTTTTTTTTGTGAAAGGTTACAGTTTTTCCAAATAGAATCTTTTAAAATTTTAATAATATATATGGACGATTAATAACAAAATTGAATATTTTCAGTGCTAAAAATTCCGAATTCTCCAAACGAAGAATTAAAATCTGCAGGCCCCAAAAACCTTCTATCAGATTATTTAATGTCCAAATCCGATTACTGAAATCACGAATGTTGTTTTATTTTTCAATAAGAGCCTTTTATTTTGATCGATTTACTTTTTTTTTACCATCTCTATTTTATTTTACAGATATGAGTTTCCAAAATTATTCAAGTGCTGACTTCATCAATGGCCAACGCCCAAACCCTCCTGTGGTAAGAGGCCGACCCAGAGTAAACCCTCCGTTTGCTGCACAGATTCCCACTGACGTACCTGTACCTACCCCTTCTTCTGTACCTGCACCATCTTCCGAACATGTTCCTTCTGCTGGTCCTGTTCCTTCTGCTGGTCCTGTTCCTGCTACCGAGCAAGCTCCTCCTCCTGCTGCTGATCCAGTTTCTGCTGCCGATTCCGTACCAGAGCCTAACACCAACCTTAACTGGGATTCACCAAGCACACATGTATTGATTGAAATTTTTCCTGCGTATCTTGTTGAAGCGGGTTTGACTAGCTCAAGTGAGGCAAAGGAGCTTTAATCCAAAAGACAGAAAAAGCCTTCAATGACAACGCAGCCGTCAATGGCCGAAGAGACATCTGTGCCATGACCACTAAATGGCATGCTCTTCATGCTAAGTATCGAAGCAGACGAGACGATGCTAATTCTACTGGTAGTGCACCTCTTCAACACTGGGAGTTTCATGATTTGATGGAGCAGGCAACAATACCAATGCCAACTACAAACCCGCCTGTTACATACAGCTCCCATTCCAGAGAAACTGTGGACAACCGTGGTGATTATGCCACTACACAACCAGTTGAAAACTTTAAATATTTCTTAAATTCTGCACCAAAAAGTAAATTCCCGTGTCAGAATTTTTTTTAAAAAAATAAAACTTTGCGATTGGGCGAAAAAACAAAATACGTGATTGAAGGCCAGATGTTATGAAATAAACAACTGAATGAAGGTTTTGTGCACCTTGAAAACTACTTTAGCGTCTTTTATGGGGGTCAGGATAGCGATTCGTGCAGCTAAGCATTTTTATTGGATAACAAAATGGAAGAGACTTTTATTTTTTTGAAAAAATGACATGTAAAAAAAAACAAAATGATTAGTTTCTTTCATTTTCTAAAATTTTGAAATAACGATTAGTGTTATGGAGCCACCAGAAAGTACCGAACTTGCACTTGTTGATAAGAGAATATTTGACAGTGTCAATCTCAGTTTCCTGAGACATGTCAAGTAATTCCACCACAGTCAGTTTATACTTCAGCAAGTCCAAGATTTCTTCAGTTTTCTTGGTGAGGAGATTACCACCTTCGTCAGCTTGATAGACAGAAATGAGGCTACTGTCATCGTGAATCACGAAGGCTGGCCTGGGAACAAGT